CATATTTTTGTTCAACAGCAAAGTTGGAAGTGTCTTCAAGAAACAGACCACTTGTTGCCATAAACGGTTTTAGATCTTAGAAGACCGCAATACTCCTTCAAGGCCCTGTACCTTATAGTAATCTCTCTAAGATTAATACTACACGGTAGGGGTGTAAATCACATCCATCATGGGGATTCGATTCAGTATCGATTTCCTGACCCAACGATTCGATTATTTTCGATACTCAAGAATACACCACGATTCGATTCGATTAATCAGTAAATTTTTTTTTTTTTTTTTTTACACCTTACAGGCTAAACAAAGTTTCAAGTTTGAAATAAATCAATGTAAGCTGTAATTTTGTTAAATAACATAATAATGTTCTAAGCAAATAATAGAAGTAGAAAAGTTGCATCAAAAAATACTGCACATAATCAGTGCAATGAGTGCAATGAAATACCTCGGCTCCAGACGTCCCCGCCCCCTCCACAGACGCTCTGCTGCACCTCTCCCAAATTGTAGCTAACCGCAAACAGACAGGAGGCCAGCTTGTTTTGTTTTTATGACCGAAATTGCGGAAAACAACTCGTGAAGTTTGACCCGCTAGAAGAGCGAGGTGCACGAGAACGCTGGGAGCCTTTTTCCACCTGGATCTCCGCTCTTTTTGGCCCTCATGTCCCTCCGTCGTTGGACTAAACTCGCCCCCACTTCCTCGCCGCCTCGGCCGTATCTAGATCCACAGCGTGGATTGAGCATAAATCAAAAATGTCTGTGTCAAGCTTACTGCAACACACTGCTGTAAGAGTATAACCAGGAAGCGAGGTAGGAGGGCAAAACAGGTTTAGCGCCACCGCAGCACAGGAGGAGAATTACGCCCAGGAGCAAATGGATAAAAATAGACCGGAGGAAACAAAAAAAACATGAATCGATTCTCTTGTGGACGTGTCGATGCATCGGATCGTCGGCTATTGGATCGATGCGTCGATACAAAACGATTATTATTTACACCCCTACTACACGGTATATTTTCCATGGTACATTATGTGGCAGGAGATGTCAATTTTTAGATAAAATAACTCATTGATTCGGGATATGTTTTCTTTGCCAATGGTGTTAATTCTGTGGAGCTTTCAGGTGTCAATCAGCTACTAAGAGCTTTTCCCAACTAGGGGTGTTTTCTGTAAGCGCGTGCACTGCATGTCTTGTAAACAGAGAAGCATGGCAGCCAACAAAGGGAAAATTGCGATACCTCTTATGGCTGTCACAGCCAGTAGAGGTATACACTTCTACGCTTTTAATCATATCCAATTGCTAAGGGCCCTAAGAGTTTGTCCTCTTTCCTGATTTCGTCTGCATCAGGATTTTTTATTTTCTACTTTTCAGAGTTTTTATTTTAGGGATTTAGGGCTGCAGCTAACGATTATTTTGCAAATTGATTAATCGATTAAAAAATCGGATAGGAAAGGGCTCCTTAAAAAGTACTTTTTATTAACCAGGGGAAACTAAAACTTTTCCTCTTGAGAAGTTCTGGAAAAAGCATATTGACAGATGAAAAACTTTTTTTTATCTTAGATGCAAAAAGTTGATATATTTTTCTACAATCCTGATACAGTTACTGCTCTGTGTTGCTCTGACAGCTAAAGGCATGTTTAAGAGTCTCTGTACTCCATTTAACAATTAATCGATGACTGAATTAGTTGAAGATTATTTCATTAATCGATTTATCGAGATTAATCCGATTAATTGTTTCCTAAGGGGATATAAAGTTACTCTAGCTCCTTTTTTTAAGCTCCAGTTTACTTTGCTTCTGGCTTGTGCTTGGTTTTACAAATACTTTAAGTATTTAAGAAAGAAGAAGGTCCTAGATTGCATAACAAATATCAAAAGCTGCCTCTGTGCACCAAAGAAGGTTTTAAAAGAAATCAAAAAACTCCACAGAGCCTAATCCGCCCCAGTCTCTTTGAACTTGGTGAGATCAGTATGTTCATTGTGAACTTACTGGTATTTCTTTATCTATCAAGCAATTCCTGTTCTGTTTCTATTTTATCTCCAGATGTGGAAAAGAAAATCAAGCTAAAGTTAACTGCCAGGATTGATTCCATTTCACGGCTCCTAAAGCTCCTCCTGATCACTCTTCTTGGAATCCGGTGGAAAACGGTTCAACCTGAAGGAGCTGCTTTTCTGTTTCACAATCTAAAACAAGTGATAAATAATCTAAAAGCACACTAGCCCTTTCAAATATTTTGTTTTGCTCAAATTATCTCGTTATCTAAAAATGTTTGGAGTCTCCGGAGGAATTTATTTAAAGGTCAAAGGCAAATAGAAAGCAGGTACAGAGAATGGAATGGCATCAGGCAGATATAATTTACCTCGAATAAGAGATGCATAAACATCAAAGTGGTTGATTGATTTTAAAGTTGGACAGATAACTGGAGAAATTCCATTAGGTCATAAATCCAGCCAAGTCAGAGGTTCCCAACAACCTTCCACTTTAAAATCCAACATGGCTGCAGGATGTTTTGCTGATAAATATAGTAATGAACCGTTAACCCTGTAGAGACTGAACTATCAAATAGTTGCCAAAATTCCGATTTTTGAAAGTGTAGCCTTCATTGAACATTGTATATGTTTAATTTTTATCTACATTTATGAACTGTCTGGTAGGGATGGAACG